TGTCATCATCATCATCTGCGCCTGTGCTAAGGTGTATTGTGTTTACAATCGTGTATCAATGCATGTTCAATAACTTAAATGACAAAGAAATCAAAATGAATGAAAGTCTTAAGATCAGACCTCATGAAGAGTATTTTTAATTTCCTTTAGTAAGAAAAATGAAAAAAAAAATGAAAAAAAAAAATAACGCAAAAAACGCACAAAAAACTAAGTTTAAAGATCTAAAGGCTTATGGACTTCTTTTTTTTTTTTTTTTTAAGGCTCACAATCTTTTTATCCCCAAGTGACTTTAAGGTGTGTAGTTGGAATTTTTAGTTATTCGTTTTGTAGAAGAGATATTTTTGTTGTTGTTTCGTCTTTGTTTTTTTTTTTTTTTTTTTTTTTTTTTTTTTTTTGCAACCAACAGTTTTTTTTGCTAATTCCAAAACACATATACTTTATATATATACATATATGTGTAATATATGTATACATATATATATGTACATTTCTTAAGACTTAATGTGTCTTTGCGATTTTTAAAAATCTTAAGCTCAGCTTCATCATTATCATCGTCGTCATCATCAACAGCAACATCTTCAGCATCAGCATCAGCATCAGCTTCGGCATCGCAATCGTCATTATCCAATAACAACAACAGCAATTTAAGCATTTGGTCTATAGCCCAAAAGGCCATCTACACATCTATCCATCCATTCAAGCATCGTCATCCCAAACACCAAAATGTATTTGAGTCGTTTTAAATTGTTGTTGTTGTTGTTGTTGATGTTGTTGGTGTTTTATGCTTTTTTTTTATTTTTATTTTTTGTTTTTTTTTTCTCTCTCCGTTTTTAGGCTTTGGTGGTGGTGATTCGTGTTGATCATCTTCAACATCATCAACATCGCCACAACGACATATCGCATTTCATTGAAGCGCGAAATTATTATGCCTAGTTGGGGATTTTGTTAACAGAGTGAATACCAGCACAAAAAAATTTTTAAGATTTTTTTTTTTTTTTAATTCACAAAAAATATATAGATATATACAAGTATACAAAAACCCTAAGCAACAAAATAAGCTTCAAGAATATTATAAAAAAAAAAAAAAAACAACAAAAAAAAATCCAAAAATAAGATAAATAAATAAATAAAACAAAATATTTTTACTTCGGTAAAACTGAATTTATGAGATAACGTAAAAAATAAAATAAAATAAAAAAAAAAAACAAACAAAAAGCAGGAACCGACAAAACAGTTTTGGAAAAAAAAAAATTGCAAACATATATATATCTTATAGGCATATGTAGGTATATTTGGCATATACTTATTATAAGCATTGGAGTGATCCCTACGTCTTTTAGCGGGGACATCCTGCTCTCTCGGCTTTAAATAACATGATATGAAATTAATGAATTCTCAAAGTGAGAATTATTGGAAAATTTCCAATTGATGCCCATTTGCAGTTGAAAACTGAATATTGCCTCCGAGTTATCATCAAAAGCATGTCAAAGTATATTTGACTTGCACAGAACTCACGACATTACGTCGTGTCATCAAAAATTTCTTTCACTTGCCGATTTGAGCTAAGTTCTTCAAGTACGCAACCTTCCTGCTATATATCCTCCCTTCTTATTAACGTGGATTAACGTCGTGGATTAAAATGGATTTTGCCGAAAAATTACTTTTATAAGCTTGTAGTCGAAGGTAGAAAGACGAATCAATTGTTAAAGTCATATATATAAAAAGCAATTTGAAAAACCGATTTCTAGCCGACTAAACGTTTATTAGACTTCTCCTATTCGTATATACTGCGCATTTTTTCCCGCTGCCGCCTTTACTCTATTGCTTTGTTTAAATTCCTAAAGCAATATATGACATATATGCCCTTTTTCACTGCATCTTGGAGAGATTATGAACAACAAGAAACCATAGTTTAATAAAACATGCATCAAACAAGACACTTGTCAGAAGATTAAATGAACAATTATCTATTTAGTGAAAGCACAGACTCGTCGTTTGCCACGCGAAAGACAAACCGATAGATTGTACATACATGTATCAAAAATCGATACCTATGTTAAACACGTTCGCGCGATCAACTAAAGCATACGCCTTTCAAAAGAAATGAGCCGTTACTTTTGAAAGTGGGATAAATCGCTTTTCATTTTCGCATTTTCATAATTTCTCCGATTACTAGAAGGTATTTACGCTGAATTGATTTTAAACATTAACTTTTTTAACTGACAGCGTCAAAGATTGGAACATAGAGACGGGAAATCAGTTTTCCCGAAGCATTTTTACGGAATAATAGCAATCGAGAGATAGTAACCGTAATCCTAGAATATCGGAACCGTATCCTAGAAGGGTTTGATAATGAATGCAGAAAAGCAGTAGGTATGAAAAGCTTGCATTAAAAATAAGCCACCAAACAGTAGTGTGGGTGGTGGCCCTACAGCAAAAGTTTTACTCTGCTCTGTGATGATCAAATGTTCGAAATTCTTGAGAGAGGATTCGGAAATTTGGTTCAGTGGCTAGATGACTAATTTTGCATAAAAACTCTTTTGGCCCTGAAGATAATCAAGGCTAGTAGTCGGTCTCAGCAGCTTGAAATGAAAACATTTCTGAACAAGAACAACAAAAGAATTTTTTTTAGCTCCAACGGAATAAACACCGATTGAATAAAGGATAAATTTTTTGGAATTTTACGAAAGAATCCCACGATATCCAGCAGAAAATGTTATTACGAAGCTGCTACTAAGAGCACAAGGCGGTCAGATGAAGATTAATGCAGTAAGCTCCGCAGTTATATCTACGCCAGGTAATCTTATTGTGAAGCTGCTACCAAGAGTACAAGGCGATCAGATGAAGATCGAAAGAGTTGGATATGCAATAAGCTCCGCAGTTATATCTACCCCAGG